AAGCGCGTATGCTTCCGTATACAGTTATCCTCCGACAGGATAAACGACGTGGTGCCCTTGCCGCCTCCCCCACCACCACCCGCCCCTCCGCCCTGAACAAGATTTATACAATTTAGTTTAATAAGACTTAACTTTACTTCTAGATATTAAAATAGTCTTTTATTTAAATACGAGATCTCTTTGGAGTCTCTCGTTGCGCCGAGCAACCCCGAGTTTTAAACTCAACCGATGCTCGACGTTTTCTAATTTCTGTACTGATGCGCTACTCACTCGGTGTGCCGGAGACAAGTTTGAGCGGTCGCAACACGCGTATCGCACGCAACGTGCGCAGGTCCATATCGAAGAAGTCCATGATGTTTCAGATGTTGCGCAGGTAGGAGCCGCGGTGGAGGACGAAGCCGAGAGCGAGGATCTTGAGGCAGAAAATCGATCGCCTCGACGCAGAAAATCCCGGGGAAATAGATCTCCGTGGACTCGAGTTTTTGTGCGAGTATGGTCTTGTCAGAACTCGGCAGATGCTCCTCGAGGGCAAGGACTACGCAATTGGCGATGATGGTGAGCAGGACGGCGTATTCGAAGGGCGGCCACTCGATGATGAAGCGCGTATGCTTCCGTATACAGTTATCCTCCGACAGGATAAACGACGTGGTGCCCTTGCCGCCTCCCCCACCACCACCCGCCCCTCCGCCCTGAACAAGATTTATACAATTTAGTTTAATAAGACTTAACTTTACTTCTAGATATTAAAATAGTCTTTTATTTAATTTATTTAATATTTTATCAAAATTTTATTAGAGATTGTAGCAAATATATACCGCAAGGAATTACTAATATAGTGATTCCTTGCCGAGATAGAGATATGAAATTAGAGATTTATCAGAATCAATTACTTAATAGCTTAATATTATGATACTGAACCTCTTGGATGACTGATAGTGCCTTTTGCAGTATTTCACTGTGCACAGCCGATTCATCTTGATCTGCATTTACAATAATCCAAGTATCATCTTTTAATTTCTCATAATTAGCATCGACACATTGCTGAAATTCATCATGCTCAAACCTTTCTTTTCCCCAATTACTACGCTGTTCTTGCTGTCACTTGGAAACCTTGAGAAACACCACGCAATCTGGCTTTGGAAGCCCTATGTCAGGTTGTTGACACCAGTTGAGACTTCTGCCAGTGTTGGCTGCTGTATATGCAGCACCAGACGCTGTGTATCTGTCCATCACCAGAAGTGTCTTCTCAATGTCCTCCTTGCACTCCCATCGATTCGCAGAGAACAATAAGTGAGCTGCCTCTGGTGGCACATTTATTTCTTTTGACAGGAAACTATTTAACATAGCTCCAACAGGAGTCTTTCTGTCTGCAAAAATAAAACAAAATATTTTTTTAAAGGCAATTATTACGTGCAAGTTGATGCTTTATATCATTCACAGCACAATGCAATTGAAGAAAAAATAACGCATTACGATGCTGATTTCAATAACGATCATACTTGACATATAAATTTTCATTTGTTAATATTTTCAATATTTTAATTGTTCCGCTAATAGCAAAAACATCTTTTCCCGCGCAATATAACCTAAACATAACCTTGCGACTCAGATGATCTTACGAGAAGTTTTTCTATAACTCACTCGGAAAAGCTCGGGCTTTCACAGGAATCCGTAGATCGTCCAACGCGTTCATCAACATCTTCGCTTAGGTCGACTTGCCAGCCCGATCGCAACCCCCCAAAACTATCAGCGCACACGTCCATCTAAATCTAACGGAAATTGTATTGTATTCTTAATATTTAAATGGCCGTAATGATCTGGGGTGGGTCATGTATTCGGGCCAACAACAGGTTATATTAGAGTGTAAATTCAGTTTTTATGCGTATATACTGGAAGAAGAGAAGAGAGAGAAGGAAGGAATTTTTGTTGGGAGGTGGTAGGAAAGGAAAAATGGGAAAGCGCAGGCCAGGGTTGAGTCGGGAATCGAACCCGAGATCTCCGGGATGTGAGTCAGGCGCGCTACACACTGAGCCACCGAAGGCCCCTAATCTAACGGAAAGAATGAAGATATTATCCGATGTGGGCGATGTTCATTCGATGTTTGGAAAATCGATGTTTTCCATCACAAGATCGATTATTTTAAATCGATGTTTTTACTAATCGATGCATCGAATAAGAATCGATTATTAAAGAATAATATCGATGTTTCTTTCTGCATGAACTAATGTTCTTACTGTACATAAAAGTGATATGTACAAGAATTTTAATAATATAATGTGATATAATATCAAATTTCTTGAGTTTTTAAAAATTACAATCTGCTTCTAAAGCTTCTGTTTACTCCCATTGCACTATTTTTTATCCAGATGTGGTCCATTTTTTAACGTACAGGCAATATTGACTGAGTATTGCATAAACACTGTTCACAAAACTTATTTTTATCAGCATAAAACTAATAAATATTTTCTTTGTGTAGGTATATATTTACAGGTAGATACAACTCTGGAATCACAAAAACAAAGTTGGAATTGTAAATCATCATACAGCACTCAAATCATCACCAGGAACATCAACATCTCATGCTCAATTTTATACATGACCATGAATAAAAAGAATATTACTTAAGATGCACTAGTTCGAAATTGGTTTTATTTATTTTAGTACGTTTTTGTTTATTGACATTTTAGTCGCTTTCTATTAGTTTCTTGACGGTTTCCTTCCCTTTTTAACTGCAGTTATTTAAATCAGGCGCGCTTTATGCCGATTAAAATAGAATCGATTAATTTCTGTTTGAAAAACTGCAATGGTACATGTGAACTCTGCAATGATATTGCAATAATTAAATGTGCTTGGTGTATGACATCAATGTGCATGCAGCACTTCTTTGCCGTAACAAACGCTAACTCTCCACATTACTGCACTAAATTTAAAGTGTAAATCAAAAAGCACCCCGATTCGTGAGAGGCAAGGGAACTCACGTTCAAAAAGCACCCCAATGGGATGAGAACCCTATCACGTCCACGTCGTTCATCCTGGGTAGCGCTAAGGACTGATTGATTTTTATATGCATCACTACTTCTAGGGATGGTTTTCGATGTTTCGTTACTGTTAGGGGTAGTTGTGTAACTATCATTGGTTGGTTTGAATACACCCTAAAACCCGTATCAGACTACGTATTGAAGATTGAAATTTGACCAATCAGAATAAAAGAAACTAAAATTTCCTTGTCCTGATTGGTCAAATTTCAATCTCAATGCATAGTCTGATACGGGCTTAACTCTCCACATTACTGCACTAAATTTAAAGTGTAAGTCGAAAAGCACCCCGATTCGTGAGAGGCAAGGGGACTCACGTTCAAAAAGCACCCCGATTCGTGAGAGGCAAGGGGACTCACGTTCAAAAAGCACCCCGATTCGTGAGAGGCAAGGGGACTCACGTTCAAAAAGCACCCCGATTCGTGAGAGGCAAGGGGACTCACGTTCAAAAAGCACCCCGATTCGTGAGAGGCAAGGGGACTCACGTTCAAAAAGCACCCCGATTCGTGAGAGGCAAGGGGACTCACGTTCAAAAAGCACCCCGATTCGTGAGAGGCAAGGGGACTCACGTTCAAAAAGCACCCCGATTCGTGAGAGGCAAGGGGACTCACGTTCAAAAAGCACCCCGATTCGTGAGAGGCAAGGGGACTCACGTTCAAAAAGCACCCCGATTCGTGAGAGGCAAGGGGACTCACGTTCAAAAAGCACCCCGATTCGTGAGAGGCAAGGGGACTCACGTTCAAAAAGCACCCCGATTCGTGAGAGGCAAGGGGACTCACGTTCAAAAAGCACCCCGATTCGTGAGAGGCAAGGGGACTCACGTTCAAAAAGCACCCCGATTCGTGAGAGGCAAGGGGACTCACGTTCAAAAAGCACCCCGATTCGTGAGAGGCAAGGGGACTCACGTTCAAAAAGCACCCCGATTCGTGAGAGGCAAGGGGACTCACGTTCAAAAAGCACCCCGATTCGTGAGAGGCAAGGGGACTCACGTTCAAAAAGCACCCCGATTCGTGAGAGGCAAGGGGACTCACGTTCAAAAAGCACCCCGATTCGTGAGAGGCAAGGGGACTCACGTTCAAAAAGCACCCCGATTCGTGAGAGGCAAGGGGACTCACGTTCAAAAAGCACCCCGATTCGTGAGAGGCAAGGGGACTCACGTTCAAAAAGCACCCCGATTCGTGAGAGGCAAGGGGACTCACGTTCAAAAAGCACCCCGATTCGTGAGAGGCAAGGGGACTCACGTTCAAAAAGCACCCCGATTCGTGAGAGGCAAGGGGACTCACGTTCAAAAAGCACCCCGATTCGTGAGAGGCAAGGGGACTCACGTTCAAAAAGCACCCCGATTCGTGAGAGGCAAGGGGACTCACGTTCAAAAAGCACCCCGATTCGTGAGAGGCAAGGGGACTCACGTTCAAAAAGCACCCCGATTCGTGAAAGGCAAGGGGACTCACGTTCAAAAAGCAACCCAATGGGATGAGAATACTACTTGTATGTCAAGTTTCAGGAAAATCGCCGTATGACACTTCCCTAGTGTTACTTGTTAGCCGAGTAATTGGAGTTCGCCAAGTTAGTTAGTTTAAAATTTCTTAATACACTATGGTCGCGTTCAGCAGAGAAAACCGCTTAGTAGCAATCGAATGTGATTGGTTCTTACTTTTAGAATCAACGAATCAACGTCAAGTGTTGACGAGACGATAACTGAGCGCTTTCTCTGCTGAACGCGGCCCATGCTAGATCCAGCATAATTGTGGATCTAGCACGGACATGCACCAATCGATCGTTTTACCATGGCACCGAAAAGTTGATCCGGCCACGTAGTTCCGCCGGCTCTAAAAAGGATCCAGTTAGCGCCACTGTACCGGCTAGAGAAAGCGTTACAGGAAAAACGGCGGCGTGGCCCCTCTCAGGTTTCTCTCTGATACAATTAATACCTCGGAAGACGATAACATTTTCTTAAAAACTACATATATAAAGAAATCAGAAAATGAAAAGTAAGTAAATGTTAATATTTTAAAAGTACAGTGTTATTAAACATTATTTATTACTACTTTTTACAAGACATGTTTGCTCTATTATTACCTTTGTCATTAAAACAGTATAAGGTATAAATTTTTTTTACCATATCATTGATATATATGTCAGCGATGGTTCTAATATTATAAATAATTAAAAGTTGATAATCATTCGAATTAATAGCATTAAAATATCGTAGATCATGGGACAAAACACATTTCCCGACAATTGAGGCCCAACGATTGTTCCCATGTTGGGATAAGCCGGCAATAAAGGCCACTTTCAACATTTCCATAAAGCATCATTGTAATTATTCAATTTTCTCAAATATGCCAATAGAGAGAAGAGAAAATGCACAAATATTTATTAAATAATACAGAAGTATGTATGCAATGGACATACTTCAGCACTACTTCTTCTATGCCTGCTCATCTCGTGATGGTTATGATTACATCGATGCACTTCTTTCCTTCGTGTGACAATTGATAGTCATTCGAATTAATAACTTTAAAATATCGTAGATGGAACGAAACAAATTTCCCGACGATTGAGGCCCAACGATTGTTCCCATATTGGGACAAGCCAATAAGAGCCACTTTCGACGTTTCCATAAAGCATCACTGCAATTATTCAGTTTTCTCAAATATGCCGATACGACAAGAGAAAATATACAAACATAAATTAAATAATACAGAAATATGTATGCAATGGACATACTTCGACACCACTCCTTCTATATCTGCTCATCTCGTGATGGTTATGATTTCATCGATGCATTTCTATCCCAATAATGGCATAGATAAGGATTACTTCTGGCGCAATCCAGACTCAGAGCATGTACAATTTGCGGAAAGAGTTTCAAACAAAATCATAATGAAGTTGAAATTTGAATGGTTTAAACTTCTGAAGAAAGTGAAGGTTCCGAAACTGCAACTTGTCGCAATCCCAGGTTTTCGAAATGATATTAATATGAACTTCGGTTTCGTCGCAATAAGGTAATAGAAAAATTGGAAGCAAATATTATCTATCGAAATACAATTTTTTTAATCAAAATTAGAAATACGTATACCAACACATATTTTTAATTTAGTATATGGTTATTTACTGAGAAATTATTTTATATTTTGACATGAAACTATATGCAATTCTAAATAGAATATATATATATGTATAAAACATATATCGTACATCACATTGCATAATTAGTTTCTATAATAACTCTTACGTCGTCATTTATCATTTATTAAGTTCAGAAAACGTTGCTTTTTTACGCTTTTCAGGAGAAACATTAAGATTATTATTATGTAGGATGTTGCCTCTAACGATAGCATTTACAAGAATATGTCCACTATTTTTAGAAATACTAAAATATTGTGATTATGAAAGTAGCACTGTATCAAGAGGACCATAATATGCTAATAATAATTTTTTAAAGGAGGCGCGTCGGAAATTTCAAGATCAATATTTTCGTATCTCTAAAAATAGCGGAGATATTCTAAGTGCTGCAATTAGAAAAAACATTCTTTATATGCAATTTTATGTTTATTGTTTAAGTTTTATAAATTTGATTCTTATGTTTTTTTAGAGAAACAAGTATTATTTACAACGAAAATCTACATTCTATTGCGCATAAAATAGAAGCGGCATGGTCGATAACACGTGTAATAGTATATCAATGGTTTGGTAATTTAATTAATCCATCTTGGTGGTCTAAGTTGTGGTTAAACGATGATCTTATTACATTGGTCGGAATGGACGTTATGAATGCCATCAATGCTATTGAGGTTATTATGTTTTCTTAATGTATATCTTTAATATGCTGAATATATGCAATTAAATGCAATACTTGATATCAAGATAGTAGGAAAGTTCTGGAACTATATATTTATAATTAAAAAAATGTAATGTTAACTGTAAATCTTGGATTACGAAGAATTTTTAAATGGAAATTTTGCATTGCGGATATTCATATCTTAAGAGACTACTATGCGCTGATTGTTTGGCACTTTTAAATTGTTATAAATTCTACAATAAAAATAGAAATTTGGTTAAAAAATAACACATATTGAAATTATAATAATTTCAGCAATAGAACCAGGAGTAATATTAATGCATCCTATTAATGTGTACATTTCCTTTGACTAGTTAAATATTTACTTGATCATTAAAATATTGAAACTTTCCTCTTTAGCATTACAAAAATTCGGAGATATTAGATTTACTCATAGTTCAAGCTCAATATGAATCTCTCCAACTGGAT